ATCCATTTATGAACTCAGGTTGCCTTGAATGAATAATCTTAATTTGCTGATATTGGGATTAAACCTTGCCAAGAGCCCTGGAATATTTAATTTGTGGGATTTGTCCCTTTCAGTGCCCCCTGAAAAAGTGGAGAAGGCAATGGATGAGGTGGAGAAATACATCATGACTCGCCAGTATAAATATGTTTTTTGCCCTGAGACAACTGATGATGAGAAGAAAGACCTTGCTGTCCAAAAGAGGATCAGGTAAGGCTTGAAAGGAAATTTAATTGAGTAATCTTTAATTCTCTAAATGAGCTCTGAATCAGCCATGTTAAAAACTTTGTGCTGTGCACAGAAAAATGGCTTGTTAAAGGGTTCAGAGCTTTTTATTTAAAATACAGAAAGAATGAATAGGTGGGATAATGACAACTAGTACACTGGGAAAATTTGCTTTTATTAAATCACAGCCAAAAATAATTTTTTAAAAAAAGGGAAGTGCTTTCTGTGAAAATAAATGACATCAGTGGAATAAACTGGTTTGTGGCTGGAGTAATGGCTCAGTGACACCAAGCATTCCTTTGCCCTGAGTTCAGGTTTCAAACCCCTTGCTGTGAGTGGCACTGAGAGGTTTTTAACCCTTTTTCTCCTTTTTAATTTAAATCTTTAACCCTCAACTCCCTTTTCTCCTGTCCTAGGGCTCTGCACTGGGTGACTCCCCAGATGCTCTGTGTTCCTGTCAGTGAGGAGATCCCAGAGGTCTCTGACATGGTTGTAAAGGCAATCACAGGTTTGGGAGTGATTAATTCTCTATTTACATCTTTTCATTTCACCTCTCTTCCTTATTGTGATGAGTTTTGCTGTCATCACAAGGTGGGTCTGTTAAATGTGCAAGAATTTGGAATTTCAGCTGTGGAGCAGGGATAATTTCCACACTGAAGTGCTTAGAATTAACTGATCTACTTAAAACACTTCCCCACAGACTGAAGTGATGAAATAAATGCAATAAACGATGCAATAAAATAATTTTTAAAAATTCATATAATTTAAAATAAATTAATATAATTTTAAAATAAATTGTTATCATTTAAATTAAATTAAAACTTTAAAGTAAATTCACGTTGTTTTAAGTAAATTCATGTTGTTTAAGTAAATTCATGTAGTTTTGAGTGGAATCCCCCAGTTTTTTGGAGTGGAATCCCCCAGGTTTTTGGAGTGAAATCCCCCAGTTTTTGGGGTGAAATCCCCCAGTTTATTGGAGTGGTGTCCCCCAGTTTATTGGAGTGGTGTCCCCAAGGTTTTTGGAGTGGAGTCCCCCAGTTTTTTGGAGTGGTGTCCCCCAGTTTTTTGGAGTGGTATCCCCCAGTTTTTGGAGTGGTATCTCCCCCAGTTTTTGGAGTGGTATCTCCCCCAGTTTTTGGAGTGGTATCTCCCCCAGTTTTTGGAGTGGTATCTCCCCCAGTTTTTNATTGTTGAAATATTAGTCTGTGGTGCCACCTATGGTTGGAATGAGTCAGAATTCAGCACAGATTTTTTTTCCCCCCTCTTCTTCTCCCTTTGCTGTTTAGTTCCTCAAATTATCTCCCGAGTTCTCATGGAATTTTACATTCCCTCAGTTTTGAATTCTTCTTGAACTTTTATTTCCTTTCTTTTGGATCTGTTCATTCTGAGCACAGAGTTTGTGAGAACAGAGTGGGTTCTTCAAACACTGAAGGTGTTCTCATTTCCTACTTCAGCCTTCTCAAAATTTGGGATTTTTTTTTACTACACATAAACCAGGCCTAAAGTTCAATTTCAGCAAGAGCTGAGACCTGTGTTCAGGAAATGTCCAGTTTTTGGCCTCAGAGAATTCAGAAATCAAATTGTCCCCTCACTTTTTTTAATGTTCGGTTTAATTTAATGATGAAAATTGCCTTAATTAAGTTAATTTTATGTTCTTCTGGTGCTCAGTTAGCAAAGGCCAGTGTGGCTTCACAAATACCACTGTAAATATATTTCACAGTAACTTTATCATCAGAAATGTGCTGTAGAGGTATTATTTACATGTATTTATATATACATATATATATATATAAAATTATATATACATATACCCATATTATACCCATATTATACCCATATTATACCCATATTATACCCATATTATACCCATATTATATTGTATTAGTATAATATATATAATTATATATATTGTATATTATATGTTATATTCTCTTATATTTATATGATATATAATATGTATAATATATAGATTATATATAAAATATATATATAATTATATATAATAATATATAATATATATTATATTATATTATACATACATTATATATTATACATATATAATGTATATTATATATACATTATATGTGTGTATATATAATAGATTATACATATATTATATTTATATTATATTTATATTCTATATATAAATATATACATATATTTACATATATTATTAGTTTCCAATAACTTGTGTTCTTGGGGATTTTATAGATTATGAATTGTGTTTTTAAAGAACCAGGGGTTAAATAGGGACAAACATTTTGCTTAGTCTGAGTTACTCTGTCAGCGCTCCCAGAGGAAAAAGCCATTGCACCTGTGCTAATATCCAGTTATTTTTCACACAATAAAGAACCAGTGTTGGCTTCTGTTTGTAACTAAACCTGAGCCTCTCTGAACAGCCCTGCTGACAGCTCTGCATTCTCAGACTGTGACTGCAGCTGGACATTGCCTTAACCCAAACCAACACTGACTCCTTGTTCTGCTCTCCTGCAGGATCTGAGCATTGAGGAGCAATCTGAGTGTGCCCAGGATTTTTACCAAAACGTGGCAGACAGGCTGCAGACACGTTGGAAAGGTACCAGCTTCTTCACCTTCCTCTTCCAAAAGCAGTGATGGAAAACTAAGTTGAATTTTCAGTGCAAGAAATGCTTTGAGAAGTGCTGGGAACAGGTTCTGGTACCAGAGTTAGAATTGTTCCCTCCAGGAAGTTTTGCTGTCTAAATGTTTTTACAAACATTTTGTACTTGGTTTTAAATTCTCAGTGGAGTTCTGTTGGATTAAGGCATTTTCTGACCCAGAGATGGGATAACTGAGAGGCATTTAAAAAACTTTTATTCTGTATTATA